ACTGAGATCTCCATTAAGTTCAGCCAAAAACTTGTGCATATTCACATCGCTCTCAGAGAAAGACGGCTCTTTGTATTAAAATCATCCTTTACATGTATGTTTGGTATAACATGCACCACTGTCTCAGTCTCTGATCGAATTTTTCCTTTCCGAGAGAGTAGCTGTAACACAAGCTATCGTTGCGAATACGGTGAGAGCCAAAAAAGCAAACAAAGTCGTACAGCAAAGAACTTTGTTGGGAAAGGTAAATTGGCTTCAATTCAGATCTCATTCAACATTGCTTCTACCTCAGAGTTTCAAACTTCAGTGATTGAGTCTAACGAACCGGCCGCTTACTCTAAAGGAACTGTGCAATTAGCCAGAAGTTCACATTCTACTCAAGAGAGAAAGATGAAACTCAGCTTCGGGATACTGATATAATGTTTCAATTATTCAAAAAAATAGACTTGAAAATAGACTTGAAATTTTGGGCCCAATGCAAACAGTTGATTATTTTATGGAATGGAATTGTCGATTTAGCCATTTCACATTCTGCCAAAAAAAAAAACACATGTAGATCGGAAATTCGCCAAGACAATTTGAAAAGTTGCTTGATGGTGGAAAAGGACTCTGGTTGATAACATTTGTCTAATCAGGAATTTAATCGCAAGAAATGAAAACCTTTTAAGCATTGCAGTACTATTTGTCATTCAAAATTTCAGTGCTCTTACCTCAGATTTGCGAAAGCTTAAGACAACTATTGGCCGAAAATAACTGTCCACTATCTTGTTAGGGGTCAAAGATTTTCCGCCCGAAATTCACATTTCTTCTTATATAGTCATTCAGCAAGACCATTTGTCGCCTTACCACTTGACATGAAAATTAGTTAGAATAAGAAGACTCGAATATTCCAGGTAGTCCATTGTTTGAAAGTTAGCTGAATCCTTCCACTAAAATTAAATAGACAAACTAAAAAGAGCCGCTTTTAATTAAGTGCACGATTGTAAAGTGACAGAGGCTTAGGAGAGTGAACTTCGTCGAAGCAAATTACAAAAACGGCTTTTTTAAAACAAAAACAAAACAACAAACGGAGTTTGGCCGCTAATATATGATGAGATCGTTAGCGCTGCGTATTTGAAAAAAAAATTAAACGGCAGGCATGAACAGTCTACAAAGATAAATAAATTCACAGTTTATTTCCGTGCTGTTGGTGTTGTTCGTCCTTCGTAGTCGAAGATGACCACAGACATCTAGTTTGTTAATAAATTTCTACGGTGTGTCCGGAGGTGGCTGATGAGACCAATCCGGGNATGTAGATCGGAAATTCGCCAAGACAATTTGAAAAGCTGCTTGATGGTGGAAAAGGACTCTGGTTGATAACATTTGTCTAATCAGGAATTTAATCGCAAGAAATGAAAACCTTTTAAGCATTGCAGTACTATTTGTCATTCAAAATTTCAGTGCTCTTACCTCAGATTTGCGAAAGCTTAAGACAACTATTGGCCGAAAATAACTGTCCACTATCTTGTTAGGGGTCAAAGATTTTTCGCCCGAAATTCACATTTCTTCTTATATAGTCATTCAGCAAGACCATTTGTCGCCTTACCACTTGACTTGAAGCTAAGGGTATATCCACGTTAAATAAAGCATTCATTCATTCATTCATTTATTCATTCATTCATCATTCGAGTAAAAGTACCAAGCAACACTTTTAGAAATGATTTGCAATCGTCATCTGCGATACAGGCCCCGTCCACGCTACGACGTGGAACTTTGAGCAAGCGCATAAGGGTCTAATGCCATCACTTTAGATTTGTGTTTGAGGAAGATATCGGGCAGGGAAATCACATGATTATATGACGTCATCGTTTTCGAAAAGCTCCGTTTTCAAATGTTTTCCATCTACACTAAGACGCAAAGCCGGCGTTTTCAAATTTCTTCGGTTTGAAAAGCGTTTTACTTGTGAAATCCTCGGCGCTTCAATTTTTGCCCGATTTATTTCCTTCCGCCCCAACTAACTGCCCCGGGGTCTCCGAGGATGATAAAGATAAAGAACTTACAACTTTGCAAATTGTAACAATAACAATAACAATAACAACAATTATCGCTGTTCGTTAGGATCCGTTCAGGTCATCTCAGGTTCCAGGATTGGTTATCGGCTCCAAAGCTTCATTTGGGCTCGCATCCTTTTGGCTTACACTTTCCCTTACATATGGCTTTGTTCTTTCTCCTGTTGATCGAGGATATCGCTCTGCCATTCCTTCGTACGCGTTGCGGACAAGGGAAAGTGCGTTGCTTCCTTCGCATTCGCACCAAGTCGAAGAGTCAACGAATGTCAGCTCGACTTTTTGTTTCCGTTCTTGCTGAGCTCTTTCTTTGAACGCAGTGACTGCCGCTTGTGCTTGAAGATGCTGGTAATCCTCCAAAGAGGGAAACTCATCGTTAAATTTAATTTATTTACCTTGATGAGGTCTTGATAAGCATTTCTTAGCACATCGGAAGGTTTGTTTTGCTCGTGGTTGCAAAGTATAAGTCCGCACGTCTTTTCCCTTGTCTCTTGCAAGCTTTTCCATGTCTTCTTTGAACGTGTCAACTATCGCTTCGCACCCAGGCTCTAGCTTCTGATATTGGAATGGACTTGGTAAAGAACCGATTTCTCGCTGAAAACAGCATCGTTGGACGGTAAGAACCACAAAGGCCGTAATTAAAGCACCGCCGAGTAACAGCAAGGCAGCTGCTTGAGAGGTTTTTCCCGAATTCGGGTAGTCGGCTTCAATTTGCAAACTCTCTTCCACTGTAGCGTTGATCAACTTTGCCTCTTTGGTGCCTCCAAGAATAGCGCAGATATAATAATCACGCTGTAACAGAGTCCAAAAAATCCACAAAAAACCGGCCAAGGAACTTGGAAAGATCATTTCAACAAGTGATTTGTTGCATCTCAACCGCGGATAAAAGCAGTAACAGACTCGTTTCAAACCTTGTTTTTCTGGTTCTTTATAGAAGCAACACCCGCGAACAAAATTCCAAAATCCGTTGTGAAGAAATAGCGTCACCAGAAATAAAAGAAGGGCAGGAATAACAATGAAACAGCTAGCATAAAAAGCAAAATTGTCTGGCGGACACTGAAAGAAATCTTCACTTTCCACAACAGCGTTCAGGCCGAATATAAGCAGAGCAATTGTGGTGTTTTTCATACTTCAAGAATTATTCTGTAATCCTGACTTCAAAGAAGTCATTAATGAAGTCATTGAGACTGCCATGACTGACAATTTAGAATACAATTTATGTTCTGAAAGGCCTTTAAATTCTGCCCTCTAAGACTTGATTGTGATGCCAAAGATTATGGTATTTACAACCAGTTGGGACATCTGGAAAAATAAGATTACGAAAATGATAACATTTTTTTTCTTTTAATTGGTTAGTTTCTGTAACCATAAAAGTACATTGTCTAGTGTTTCGTATATATCGAGGGTTTAATTAGAATTGACTTCTTTTAGTTAAATTTTTATCCATTGTATTTGGACAAAAGCAGATCCAGGAGGTCGTCTACAATGTTCACAGGTGATGGAGTCAAGGGTTTGGCATGTGCAGGATCGCATTCTGATCACGGTTAATGCAAAGAACACTCTGATCTGAGACACTAGCAAAAAGAACCTTGGCAAAAAGAGTTCTTTTTCTTTCACGTAAAGCTATGCAATGAACTTGTTTTATTTTAAATGAGCAAAATAAATTCGTTCATTGTTAATGATGGAAACCAATTGAGCTGCATGAGTAAGATTCCGTGTAGCCCGAGGCTTTCCCATTGAATGGGGCCAGTTGTAAACTGAAAATTACAAAAAACATGACTTAGGCCCCGTCCAAACTACGCCGGAAGAATTCGAAAACAGCGGTGTCCATCTTAAAACGCATCAAATGTTTTCCGTCCACATACGCCAGAGGAATTTCAGTAAAAAAGCAACAATCACTGGTCATTACGGATTGGTGTTTGAGGAAAACTCGGTCAAGGAAATAACATGATTTTCGTGACGCCATTGCTTTCGAAAAGTTCCGTTTTCAAATATTTTTCCGTCCACACGAAAACGAGAAGCACTCGTTTTCAAATTACTCCTGTTTGAAGAGCGCTCTGGAAAAGCTCCGTTTTCGTAACGGATTAGTGTGGAAGGTAGGCTTAGCTGTAGAAATAAACTTGGCTGCGTTTTCAAATTCCTCCGGTCTAAGGTGGAAGCTGACTTAGAAGCCACAAATCGTTAGAAAAAACGTTGAAACAACTACAACACAGATCTCTTGTCTCCCATCTGCATAGTAACAGTCTAACGGACTTCACTGTAGCCGCCTGATAAAACATCTGCCAAACAAACCAACGAAAACAGTTAGATATATTTAGTACTTGGAACACTGGAACTTAAACACGAAAAATGGTGATCGAGTCAAAGTCATCGGCCGACAGTAGAACTGAAAGACGATAGAGGAAATATGAATCTTACTAGAAATTTTGTTTTGTAAAGTCTTGCTTTACTTTTGCGAGCACGTACTCGATGAAACAAAATACAAACGACAAATGGAAGGTGCTTCCTAGTTCCCAGTCAAATTAAACATGATATCCACGATGACTTCGATAGCGTTGATCCTAGCAGTATGCAGGAGACCTGTCATATATGAACTCAGTTAAATGACCTCGCTCTCCATGAGTTCTCGTAGCTTAGTGGATAGAGCGCCCGCCCGGTGTTTGGGAGGTCATGGTTTCGATTCCTGTCGGGGACTCAGAATTTTTCTTTGTTCCACGCTCGTGTCAAGTTGATTAATTCACCTTCACATTTCATTACCGAGCTTAAAATTCACCATCTTTAT